CGGCCGGCTTCGCGACAGCTGGCTATCGAGAGTCTACTAGGATTTTGTTTGTATTGTACACACGTTTTACGTCCGTGTCACGATTACAAGCCTCGCCAATGCCACCGCGACGTCGACGTCGATGCTAACAACGACTGAGATGGCGAACAGAAAGAGTTGCCGCTGAACGTTGTTAGAATCGGCATGACTTGATAAGGAAGACGAGCACGCCTTCCTTTGCTGACAAATTCATGTCATCTCGGTCAAAATTCACGAAAAATACGTTACGTGTATTTAACCCTCGCGATCCGACGCATGCGACATCTTAGACATTTTAGTCACTCATTTTAGACGCAGTATTTACGAAACAAAATTAGATAAATTTGGATTTAATGATAAAAATGACATGGGTGATTCTTGACTCAGCCATCATATTTCGCGGTTCGCACTCCCAGAATTGAAGTCATAAATGACGTGGCGTGTCAAACCACACCGCTCTATATACTACATAACGCTGACGTACACGCGAACGCATATGTAACTCGGTACGAGTTTTCCCAGTCGACACATGGCCGTGCACATTCCTAGCAATTTCACGTTTTCCACGTCGTCGTTTTTTTCTGTGATCAATGAGAGAAAGACTCACCCGCACAAATTGGTTTCCTGTTCCTCGGTGGTTTCGACAATTTCCTCGAGCAGAATACGATCCTCGCCACCAAACACTGACATATCTCGTTGGTCCGCAGCACTGAGAATCCCGCCGCGCGATCCCGCACCGTCCCAGCAGCCGTCGTCACGGCAGCGAAAAGACGACGGGCTTCTCTCTCTTTCGCAGCACTCCACTCGAAAAAAATCGACGCGCACACTTCACGCAAACGTGACGCAAATCCTCCACGGAACTCGTTAATTAACTTTTTAGACCGCGGTGGCACGCACCGAGATTCGTCCACGGGACAGCCACTCCGCGCGGCGCACACACAACGCCCGAACGCGTTTTGTAATGGCGATCTTTGGCGGGAAACAGCTGAGGGCCCCCACAGAGTGCCGCGAATCACTCCGCCGCCGGCTTCAGTGCCGTCAACACCTATGGTTGATCCGACGCCCCTTTGGACATCTGCCACTTTCTACTACAAATTTTTTCTCAAATCTTATATACCCTAGAAATCCTTTATTTTTTAACACCAATTATTTTTATCGCGTTTACACGACAACACTCTTGATTAATTATATATGTTCGTTTAATGTATCGAAAATTACGATAAGTAATGTCCGATGTTGCATAAACTAATACTACATTTCAAATATATCATCTCACGAATCTTGTCACGAAGCAAATCATTCCGTCCATGTACACCGAATCATCACGTGGCACATGCTAAACTTTGTCATGAAACTTGAGGCAAATAACACTCGCGCACTGTAGAAACGATATGCAGAAACGAAAATATAATCACACGGTGGTTTGTTGTCTCAATCTAGTTTATATTTCCACGAAGCACAGCAACATAGACGTGATTCACAGCGTCGAACGTTGGAGAAGCGTTTTCGAGGCACTCATGACAAGTTTAGTGTACGCGGTTAGGGTGAACGCTACATGATACTCTGCCCTGAACAATGACTCTCTTTGGACCAATCGCACATCAGCTCATCTTCAGTTTCGCACCAAGTTTTTACGGTTTTCCGCAGGTAGTTGCATGCAGATTATCTACTGCCATACGTCGAATCACTGGTGTGGTTAGCTGTCTGCTTGGTGAGCTATTGTTAGAAATATTTATTGCTTTAGAAGGGACTACTTTCACGTTGCGTAGGTTTACGCTAGAGGAATGGTGCGGCCGCGCGGGAAACATCTGCCAGCTGGCAGAGGCCCCGCCCATAGAATACGCCAGTCTCCCCCACTTCCCCCACCTGCGCGAAACTAAACCCACGCACACTAACCCCCAACCATTTGTATAGCCGTGACCGCGCGCGTACACATCCAACAACCTTCTATCCTGGTCCTTCAACGAGCTCTCTGCGCAATGTTACACGATACGAAAGTTGACAATAAAAATTCGCTGCTTCCTCGCACGTATCATACATCCCAAGTCCCTCGTTCTGCATTTCTCGATGTCGACGCAGAGATGAACAATCAAAAATCAAAACTATGTGTAAACCAATATAATAAATAAAAAATGTTCTACTATATTCATTAACAATTTATCCGTATTTTGAATATTGAAATAAAGTAATTTTATAATTTAAACTGACTATTTGTATTTTTAACTATGTATGTATGTATAATTTTTATTGTAAAGTTGTAAACGATCTTAATGCACTGTCTTCGTTCACAAATTGCTACATTTTTCGAATGTTTCTCTATCAATGTGTGAAAGATAAAAATATAAGTATAAAAAATAATACATTTCAACAAGATCTTATGTAAATTAGTTTCGTCGATTACTAGAAATTAATAACTTTCCTAAGACTCTCTAAATAATTTGATTTTCCATAAATAAGATTTCGATAAAATATTCTTCAAATAATTTTACTATAAAAATTGCGATAAGCTTGTTTAAATCGATAAATTGTGAAAAGTCGTGCAGCCAATGCCATCTGGCGGTCGACGATTGCACATGCAAAAATAACGGAACGGCAACCGAAATACAAACACTCAGATGATTTAATATAAACAATGTACTTCCATCATTATTTGCAAATAGTTTTTTTATACAATATATGTGAAAAACATTTATTTTCGTAATCATTCTTTCTTTAATTCTATAAAATGAAATATAGTAGTGATGAACTTACAAATAAAAAGAGGAAATAAAAGATGTTCTCACTTCTGAACCTATTTTACCATTATCGATAAATACTGTTGATTATCTGCGGAATTTCTTTTTCATACTCTGATATAATGACAGGCTAAAATAATATTTAGAGACTGTATTCATAGTTATTGTTTATATTAATTATACATTACATCGTAAAAAATGAGGGTTTTATATTGTTATGATTTAGAAAGATAACTATGAAAGATAACTATGAATACGCCTTAAATCCAGTTTAGTAAATGAAAATAATATTAAGTTTTTTCGATCCTCATTCTCTTACTCTATTTCATTCATTAATCCGGAAAATGGTTGATTCTATCTTGAATTTCTTGATTTGCAACTTTGGAAATATAAGTAAATTTCGTCTTGATCTCATGTTTAAAATATGTCTTTAACCCTTTGCGGACGAGACAGTTCGAAGTCAACCGTACCATGGGGCCGAGCTGCTGCTACGATAGTCATTTAAAATTGCCAGCGCACATTTCTGCTTAGACGCGATTTTCGTTCATAACACTCCAAGATGTCAAATTCTAGACATATGTACATGCACAGATTCTCCACAGGATAAATAAAATGACACACATATGAGTCTTTTGGTTCTATCAGTTGTTTTCTCCGAACGCGTATATAAGTTTGTCGCTCATAGCGACGCATTTACGTGGGACACATATATGAGTCTTTCGGCTCTATCAGTTTTTGCCAAACACATATATGAGTTCCTCGGCCAAATTGATGGCTTACGCAGAACGCATATATGATACGTATGTAAATATGAAATCACGAAGCATTTTTACTAATACCTTATAAAACAGCTACGTAATCAGCGCTATTTGGCTGATTATATGTAATATCTTTTTCAGAAAAGGTGCACATTTAGACTTTGCTCGATTCTATTTGAATTAACATGTAGTATTATTCAAATGCTCGATGATTGGTATAAAAAAATTGGCATAAATACATGTATCGTTTGGATTTTTCATCCTTAGTACGTTTATATATTTGAAATTACCTGATCATTATAAAACAGATAATTTGTTTAACACGTTGAATGCCACGCTAGTTTTACAGGGATTGCCCGTGGCGCCACGATGAATTTTTTATTATGCGATACGTATGATGTTGAAACATTACCTACAAGAGATATGTTACGGCGTATAATCATCATTAATGAATTTATCTCACTGAGGTCACCGGTGACCACCGTGGCGCTGAAGTGCGATTTCGCGCGATTCACTTATTTTTTACGATTATCAATTATCTCATATTGTTTCTTCGCGTTGCTAAGTAATTGTTCTATGTTGTTACGCCCCGGGACCTACCATAAACCATAATCCATCCTTCGGTCATACTTATTCAAATATATAATATATAATAAATATATAATATTTATAATATTAATCAAACATCTTCCAAGTCGAAACATTCCTTAGGGTTATTGTTCATTAAAGTAAAACACAGAAAAAGCAGATTTTTCCCATGTTCGACAGCCACTAACGGGAGATGCACATAATAGATCTACATTTCATGTATAAATAAAACTATTTTTATATGTTTTATACAGCATTAATTTCGTCATACCATTGTAGTAACGATGGTAATAATAAAAAATTTATAACTATTGACATTTGTTCAAATTATGTATTTCTACAAATTTTGGCGCAACGGTTACCGATGGCCCCCGTGGCATTCAACGTGTTAACCAGAACAAAATTTTTTTGTAATATTCACATTTCAAAATTGAACAAAAAATTTAAAAAATTTCTTCCGAAAAAATTAATATTTTTATATTGGATTTTTATATTATGTTAACACTTAGCCACCGCGCATTTTTCCAAGTATCAAGGACTAATATTCACTACTTAAAAAACAAAGAAGTCTAAAAATTATTTAAGTGATTAATTATATTTTGTGGTAATGATTTTATTTAACGATTTCACATATTGTTTATACAAAACATCAAATTAAAAATATATATTAAAAGCATAAAAAATATAGGTAGAATTAAAGACATTAAAGATGACTAAAGATAAATAACACGACTTGAACGTGAAATTAAAAATTCATAATGCATTTTAATATTTTTTTACAGTGTGGTACCGTTCGACTATAACTTTATTTAGTCATAACTGATAGTGTAGTTTTTTAATTAATTTTAGCACTACTAAATTGGTGTATTTTATTATATACTGTACTTTATAAAAGCAGAAAAAATGGCGCAATTAATTGGGAACATATCCAGCTAAACAATAACTGATAACAAAAAAAAAAAGAAGAAAACGCGTTGCTAAAGTCAAAAAGAGAGATCTCCCCGTTCGGTCACGCAGCGTTGTTCTTCACAGAGGGGAGATCTCCGCTATTCGGTTGGCTAAGTGTTAAATTTTACAACGGACGTTATTTTGTTTTCAAACTAAAATTGATATAACACGTAGAAATCTGTTATTATTTGTATTTTTAATTTGTAAGTAATATTGTTTTTTCTCCTTTTGTACTCATAGTAATGTGATTAGTGTATTTAAAGCAGAACCCAAATTTTGTCAGTTTATAATTATAACACTATTTATAATGCCTCCCAATTTGTACACAATGATGATTTCAAGAAAACTTTTACTACTTTTCTTTCGATCAGCAGATATAGACATATAATATTTCTCCAAATTAATAAATTTTCTTTACATTGCTAATGTGAAATAGCTAATCAACATAATAAACAGAAACAAGTATCGTCACAATAAAATCTAAGTGATTATTAGTCAAATATCCAACCTTATATCAATTAACTGCTAAGAAAACGTTTAGGAACCAAATTGAATTGGTACCCCATGAGATTCCAAGATATTGAATAAATAAAGAGAGTAACAATGTTACCCTATCGTACTAAAAATAGTATTTAAAGAGCCTAAGACGAATCAGTCTTAGACTTTACTCGACTGGTTTGATTTACTTTACTGTAATGATTATAAAGCTACATATAGATACAATATGTGTTATACAAATGCATCAACCACTTTCTAATAGTTACGCTTCTTTTACACTGTGGTTACATTCTCTTTATCCTCTTTTTTTTCAAAAAAAATGAGCTAAACCTAATACTGTGCTAAATGCTATATTTACAAGATTAGAAGTTGACCGTTCCGTTTTTTATTTAATTATGTACAGACGCGTAGCTCTTGATTACAGTAGAGAGTAAATCAACAAATCTATTAAAATATATAAAACTAATTTAGTATTGCGAATGATATCGTCAAGGCAAATATGATTGAAGCTGTAATGAATTGATACTCGGAAACTAATTTGTACTTTATGATTTATTTTTACTACCTTCTTTTTTACTTTTTCGTATTAAATATTATATATCTTTGTTGATTTACTTCTAAATTTTTCCCCTTTTAAATTACACCCTTTAACTTTCTGTTTGTTTAAAAAAATCTTTAAATATACATTAGTATCTTTTTTCTTAATGTGGTTCATGCATCTGTAATCAATTTAGTGCAATGTGAAAGCATGGATTTACAAATAACGGCGTTGTAAAAGAAATGTTGTCAGAATAATAAAATAACTTCTGATATACATAAGAATGTTTAAATGCAATATGTATGCATGAATTTCTCTTGATATTTTATGTAGAAATTTATATATACATGTAAATATTAATATAAAATAAATCTTGTATTCTTTACCAAATACCACGTTAGTTTTAGTCCAAGCTCCATGAAATTATAAATATGTATTAAATATGTTTCATTCAGTTCTGGAATTCATTTATCTATTTGCAAGCATTAAAATAACTACTGTATTGTATTTTAATTTACAAAGAAGTAGTTTGGTATTCCAATTTCTGTTACGTCAAAAAGTAATTTACAGATAGTCAGATTTTGTAAGAATTGATTTTATGAAAAACATTCAAATTAAAACTAATATTTTATCAAACACCAATTTTAACCTAACCCCCAATGAACGTGTATAAATGCATAAATAAATAAGTTTCAAATTATATTTTTAATTTATAATATTTAACTATTTTCCAAAACAAAATATCTCATACTTTTGTCTTTTT